GAATGCCTTACAAGCATTTGCCACCATGTTGAGATTAATACATTGTGTGTCTGTCTGTCTGTCTGTCTGTCTGTCTGTCTGTCTGTCTGTCTGTGTGTGTCTGTGTCCTGTGCATGCATGTCTGTTTGATATGTCCATGTTTGTACATATGGAGTGCTAGCCTGTATTTGAGATTATGGAGGCTAGAGATCAGTTTATATTTCCTCCTGCTGTTCTTCATTTTACTTCCCCCACACCCCCAACTTTGGTTTTTCCAGACAGAGTTTCCCTGTGTAGCCCTGACTGTCCTGGAACTCACTCTGTAGATCAGGGTGGCCTCAAACTCACAGAGATCCACCAGCCTCTGCCTCTCGAATGTTGGGATTAAAGGTGTGCTCCACTACTTCCAGGCTAAGACAGATTTTTTTAATTAAAAATAATAAGATGGAGCTGGGCATGGTGGCACATGCCTTTAATCCCATCACTCAGGAGGCAGAGACCGATGGATCTCTGTGAGTTTGAGGCCAGCCTGGTCTACAGTGTGAGTTCCAGGACAGGCCCCAAAGCTACAGAAAAACTCTGTCTCAAGAAAAAAAAAATTGCACCTGCGGCTGGAGAGATGGCTCAGAGGTTAAATGCAATGGCTGCTCTTTCAGAGGTCCTGAGTTCAATTCCCAGCAACCACATGGTGGCTCACAACAATGAGATCTGGTGACCTCTTCTGACATTCAGGAATACAAACACTGTGTACATAATAAATAAATAAAATTTAAAAAATTGCACCTGACCTGATAGAGGTGGGGATAGTGAGCAGTAATTTTGCCTCAGCACATAGAGTAGAAGAGGATAAAGATAAATTAGACACTACTCCCCCCACACACACACACCCCTGAGATCACATGTACACTGACTGTACCTGGATATTACAGATTTTCAGAGGGTGTGCTTTTTGTTGTTGCTTTGTTTTTCAAGACGGGGTTTCTCTGTATAACAGCTCTGGCTGCCCTGGAACTAGCTCTGTGGACCAGGCTGGCCTTGAGCTCACAGAGACCCACCTGCCTTGTGAGTGCTGGGATTAAAGGCACCTTCTAAGAGTGCACCTTCTAAGTCAATTTAAGCCAGGCTGGGAATCTTACATTTCCTATTTTTACACACACACACACACACACACACACACACACACACACACACACTAAAATATTGAATTTTCTTAAATATTTAAATTACTCAAAACAATACAATCAAAATTTAAAGCTAGTATTATATTGGAAGCACTAGAGGGCACTGTAGGAGCACGTTTGGATAAACTCACTTGTCTAGTCTCCTCGGGTAATAGGAGGGATTTTAGGGACCATGTTTGGCCTCTGTAAACCTGTGCCTGTTTGCTTCCCCAGCCTGCATGTATGGAGCTGCCAGAAGAGCTACTTCAGCTCCAGGACTTCCAGAAGCAGCGGCGAGAGAGAGCTGCCAAGGAGTACAGGGTGAATGCGCAGGGTCTCCTCATAAGGCCCTTGCTGCACCCAAAGAAGCCAGGGACTCGCACAGCAGGGAAAGAGGACCGAGTCAATGGCTTTTTATTTTGTAAAACTTCTGGCGTGGACAAAGCTCCACGCTTTCTATGTCATGAATCTCATCTCAAAGATGAGAGTTTTTTGGATAAAGCATCTAAACAAACCACAGCAAAGTCTCATATTCTGCCTCCCATGAAGGAAGGCAAAGCCAGTGAGGATTCTGAGGACAAACCAGTATGTTGGGAGTCAACAGGGCCAGAAGACCTGAGAACCCAGAAAGCTTGCTCCCTGACTCCCACACATGAGCTGCCATCACATTTTTCTTTGAAAGAGGAGATAGAGCAGTTGCTGATGGTAGAAAACAAGGGAGCTTTACAAAGCCCAAATGAAGACACTTTGGTGTCTCCTCTTCCTCAGGAAACGTGGGTGACACCAAGTAACACCTTCCATCTTCCCGAAAAAGCTATGATTTCTACACTCCCACCCTGCCCAGCCCTGGAGAAGACAGATTCATGGATAAGTCCCTCTCCCAATCTGTTTTAGGACTTTAGGTTTGCTGAGGCCATGAAGGGGACTCATCTGCTCTGCCAACAGAGTCTGTGTGAGTTCCTCCTGGGGTAGGGTGGGTTAGGTCTCAGCCACAGGCTTCTGGGAAAATGATAGCCTTTGGCTTAGTGCTTCGTCCTGGTGTCTGGATTAGAATGGAAGGAATAAGTGAAATAATGGACCAAGTCAAAGTTCTGATTCTGTCAGTATATGCAGAAATATTCCCTGAGTAATTAATTCTCATAGTTTAGGCTTAGATGATTTAAAGAAGTGAAAATGTTTGGGCTCAGTGTCTGGGAGGATTTAGTGTAGGGAGATTGTGGACAGCTCCTGTGAATGGTAGAGCTAATACAGCCTGAACAGGTCATGGCTTCAGTCTGCGGTATCACCAAAAAACAAAAGTTGTATTTTTTATCTGTTTGTTTGGGCTCAGTTTGGTTTTTTGGCCTTTAGAGTGAAATTAATCTAAAAACCCTACTTCTAGGTTAAAAAATGGATATCATCCAATTTCATCAGCACTTTTCTCCTTAAAATATTACTTGAATTGTGAATTTTTGTGTATTGTAGGCAGAGAATAAGTAATGCCATTATAGGGTTCAGTCTCTCAATTTTCTTTATATTTCATTAACCTTAAGGTTTTGTTCATTTTCCTAGCAGAGCAGGGGTGCTGGTTTCTTTGTTGTTGCCCCTTGGTGTAAATGTAAAATCTGAGTCCATGGTATCTGCACAGAGAGAAAGAAAAACGGCTGGAAAGGGGGGTATTTGTGTTGCTCAGAGTCACTCATTAGTCTTTTGTGTAAAACAACCAATAAACCTGCTTTGGCATAAAGTCGTCTCTCTTTTTCCCTTGTGGTGTGAGAGTGTGGAAGTTTTAGAGTAATATCTGAATTCCTAGGTCTGGAGTCTTACTTAGAAATCTGTACTCTAGATAGACACCGGGTGCATACCTCTGTCCCAGCCTTTGGGAGCTTAGGCAGGAAAGTAGCAGTTTGAGGCCAGCTTATGCTTCATGAGAATACCAGGCTTCACTAATTTCTAAAATCTGTTTACCACCTGTTACCGGACTGTTACCGCATCTTGGGGATGTGGGGATAGTCCAGGATCAGCAACATCACTGGACAGCCAGTTGTTTTTGAGTGTCACTGAAGGAATGGTGTTCCCTCTCAGATTCCAGACCCAAAGCAGGTGTCGTGGCCCACCACTATAATCCTAGCACTTAGGAGGAAGAAGCTGGGCAATCCAAACTTCAAGGTCATTTTCAGCTCTATAGTGAGCTCAAAGCCTGCCTGAGCACAGGAAACCCATCACAGAAACAAAGCAATCTAAATGAAATGTTCTTAAATGAAAAAGAATTTTTAGGGCTAGAGAAATGGCTCAGTGGTTAAGAGCACTTGGCTGCTCTTCCAGAGGTTCTGAGTTGAGTTCCTAACAACCAAATGATGGCTCACAATCATCTATAATAGGATCTGAAATCCTCTCTGAAATGCAGAGCATTCATAGATAAAATATAAATGAATAAAATTTTTAAAAAAGGAGAAGGACTTTTAAATGAAAGTTTTGAACTTTTTATTTATTCTTATTTTATGTGCATGAATGTTTTCCCTACATGTGTATCTGTCCACATATGCTCAGAAGCCAGAGGAGGGCATTGGATCCCCGCCATAAACAAGACATTTCTACCATTTTCTCTAAGGCCCAGGGAACAGAGCAGGAGGTAGAAAAAGATCAAGAGCCAGAGACAGGCTGGGCAGTGGTGGCACATGCCTTTAATCCCAACACTCGGGAAGCAGAGGCAGGGAGATCTCTGTGAGTTTGAGGCCAGCCTGGTCTGCAGAGTTGCAGGACAGCCAGAAATACTGCACACAGAAAAACAAAATAAAACAAAACAACAACAACAAAAAAGAGCCAGAGACAAAGGGCTACAAATGTCTTCTGGGCAAGACAGTCATGGCAACACAAACTTAACATCTGTAGGTGGCTGCACAAGAATGGGCCTGTCAGTCAAGCCTGGGTGGAAGACGGCCTCAGGACCTATCACTACCCAACTATTCCTTACTTAGAGATTCATGAAGCAGGGATTCATTGTCTTTAGTTGTATACCTACTAGTGACCCCACCAAGCTCTGGTTGGTAGTTCCAATTCAGTGGTCCTACAGATGGCCCTGGTTAAACTAAATGGGTCTCAGAAAAGGAAAAAAGATAAAAAAGTCATGAATCTGTGATAGGAACGAGTAAAGAGGAGGGGGCACTTGATAAGGAGGGGAGGGAGATTAATCAATATAAACACACACGTGTGAAATTGTCAAAGAACAAAATTAATGAAGCAATGTATGGTTGGCATCCCAACAAGTTGCATAAAAGAGAACCCTTTCCTTCCTTCCTGTCCTTTCCTGGAACTTATTCCTAATGACTGTTTGCCTTGGTTTGTTTTATTACAAGGTTCTTATTTACAGTACTTAGCATTTAATTGTCAGGTGGCTTTCAAGCTGTAAACAGTAATGCACTTGGGGGAATTTGAAGACTCCAGAATGCAGAAATAGTCACTGAGACTACTGATGCAATATGGAGGCATCAAAGCTCTAGGCCTCTAGTTTACATTGTAGTCAGATGATTTTCATCAACTGTTTACATCTAACATGTCATGAGTTCATTAAGAAAAGGAAGGGGGAATAAAAATTAAAATTGTATGGCACACAGAGAGAGAGAGACAGAGAGACAGACAGAGAGACAGACAGAGAGACAGAGACACACACACACACACACACACACACACAGAGAGAGAGAGAGAGAGAGAGAGAGAGAGAGGGAGGGCTGCGGTAGGACTCTTAGTTTCTGCTCAGCCTACTGCTCTCTTTTTAAATTATGTATTTTTATGTGTAGGGGTATTTTGCCTGCATGTATGTCAGTGCCCACGGAGGCCAGAAAAGAGCACTGTATCTCCTAGAACTGGAGTTACAGATGGTTATGAGCCACTGTGTGGGTTCTGGGAATCAAACACAGGTCCTCTAGAAGAGCAACCAGTGCTCTTAAATGCTGCTCCATCTCTCCAACCCCCACCCACTGTTTTCTTGCTGTATGCTGTATTAAAAAAAAAAAAACCGGCGGGGGGGGGTGGTGGTACAGATGCTCAGCAGGTAAAGGTGCTTACCACCAAGTCTAATGACCTGAGTTCAGTCCCACAGTGACAGATGCTGCAAGTTCCTCAAAACAAACACAAACTCTTAGGATTTTGTGGGAGACATGAATGCAAAAGTTTAACTAAAATAACAGTTAACATTCGATGTGTCCATGATGGTGGTGAAAGAGGCAGAGAAGCTGTAGAGAGGAGAGGACACTTGTCTTGGAGCTAAGTGTGTGGCATGCTTCTTGAGAGGTGAGAGGGGGTGCACCGCAGCAGAAGGATTTCACTGTTGAGCAAGGAGAAAGCATCCAGGGTCTGATCATCAAGGATGCAGATAGCACGCTTATGACTGCTCTGGGTTAGGTTTTGTTTTGTTTTCTGGTTCCAAGCCAAAGAACTGACTCAGCTAATGTAAGCAAAAAGAGAATTTATTGGAAAGATGAGTGGCTCTCAGAAATGATGGGAAATTTAGAGAATTGAACTTGGAAATAGAATCTCGGACGCTGCAGAACTGGAGGTAGCAGAAACTACTCAGCTGTTGGAGTGAGTGCCGATATGAATGTTTCTGTCACTGAATAATCTGACTTGGAATTCGATCTGACTCCAGGCAGCGAGTGGAGATGGGAACTGGGATCATTAGTTAGTTATAGTTAGAAGTGTGTTATTACACTGTGGGTGTTGGATGACATAATTTAGTGTACATTACAAAAAGCTATAGGAAAATACTAAGATTTTGCACTTAAAGTATAATGGGTGTGGTGGTGTGTGAAATTGCAGCACTTGGGGGATGGAGGCAGGAGGAGTGAGAATACAGAAAGTCTAAGTGCAGGAGAGATGGCTTGGCGGGGGGGGGGGGGGGGGGGGGGGGCACGGGGCGCCCCCGAAGACCCAGGTTCAATTCCCAGCACCCGCAAGAGAGCTCAGAACCATCTGTAACTCCAATTCCAGGGCACCTGGCACTGCCCTCTGGCCTCACTGAGCACCAGGCACATATGCAGTGTATAGACATGCATGTGGGCAAAATACTCATTGTAGCATGAGTTCTAATAGGTCTTAATAATAAAAACCTGAGTCAGATATCAGGGCAAATGCTGAAAGGTCCGAGAAGTAAAGGAACCAGCCACAGGAGAGACCTTTACCTCTACTGAATCCTCAGACCAAAGGGGTGATCCTGTCCCTATGAATCCTCAGACTGAATGCTGTCTCTACAAAACCTCTGACTGAATGCAATGTGCTCCTGTCTCCTCCCACCTTATATTCCTGTCTATGCTCAGCCATATCTCTCCTGTCTTCACCTCCCTAGCACTGAGACTAAAGGTGTGTGCCACCACTGCCTGACCTCTATGGCTAACTAGTGGCTAGTTCTGCACTCCGTTCAGGCAGGCTTTATTTGTTAAAGCACAAACAAAGTATTACCACAACTCATAGCGAGAGAATCTAAAGAGTCTGAACTACATAGGTTAGACACAGCGGCCAGAAAAACACACACACACACACACAGTGGAAAATGTCAGATGGTCTCAATACAAGTGTGAGTGCACACACATAAGCACACACCATACTTGCATGTACATACACTCAAAAAGAAAGAGAAAAGGAAGGAAGGAAGGAAGGAAGGAAGGAAGGAAGGAAGGAAGGAAGGAAGGAAAGAAGGAAGGAAGGAAAGCCAAGAAAATGAAAATTAGATAGGAAGAAAATCAGAGTAGTATCCTGTGTTGGTTTGAGAAAAAATGGCCCCTAAAGAGAGAGGCACTATTAGGAGGTGTGGCCTTGTTGGAATATGTGTGGTCTTGTGAGAGGAAGTGTGTCACTGTGGAAGCAGGCCTTGAAGTTTCATATATATTCAAGCCATGCCCCATGAGACAGTTTATTTCCTGTTGATTGTGGATAAAGATATAGGACTCTCAGCTCCTTCCCAGCACCATGTCTGCCTACATACCACCATGTTGCACCATGACGATAATGAACTAAACCTCTGAAGCTGTAAGCCACCCCATTAAGTGGCTATAACTCTAGGTCAATGCCTCTAGCCTCCCCATTCATGGTCTCACACAATTAAAGATGAAAATAAATCTTGAAAAAATTTTGTATATCATGTCCTCATCTTCCTGTGGTAGTTTGAATGTAATTGACCTGCATAAGCTCAGAGAGTGACACTATTAGGAGGTGTAGCCTTGTTGGAGGAAGTGTGTCACTATGGGGGCAGGCTTTGAGTTATCCTATGCTCAAGCTACTCTCAGCATCCCAGTCTACTTCCTGTTGCCTTCTGCTCATGATGATAATGGACTGATCCTTGAACTGTAAGCAAGCCACCCCAAATAAATGTTTTCCTTTTATAACGATTGCTGTGGTTATGGTGTCTCTTCACAGCAATAAAGCCCTAAAACACCCCCTCTTTTTTGTTTGTTTTTTTAAAAGTGGGTTTTCTCTGTAACCATTGTAACTCTGGCTGTCCTGGAACTCACTTTATAGACCAGGCTGGCCTCAAATTCACAGAGATCACCTGCCTCTGCCTCCCAAGTACTGGAATTCAAGGCAAGAGTGATCACGCCTAGCCCCTCTTTTTTTTTCTTTTGAGTCTGGGTCTCACTGTGTAAGTCCTGTCTAGTCTGGAACAGTGTAGACCAGACTGGCTTGGAAGTGACATCTCCTTCTGCCTCTGTCTTCCCAAGTAATGAATTAAAGAAAGGTATATACCACCATGCCCAG